TTTTCTGTGCGCTTGGTATTGAAGAGCGGGCGTTAGCATTTAGTTGAAGTGTTCGCTTTGGTGGACGAAATGGGTGAGAAGATTGGTTAAGTGAGGAGCGCATTGTCCTTCCTGCCGCATGCGGTAGTAGTGATAACCATGGCGATATGAGTGTTTGTGGAAACAAGTGCGAGAAATGCAAAAGTAAAAAGGCATTATTCTGTTGCCGTTCCTGATGAATACCTTGGGTAAATCTTTTACGAGGGAATGGCAAGGGCACGGCGAAGATGAGGTTTCGCTGTGCGCATATTCTTGAAACCCTTTTCTTACACGCAACAGCCACGACGGTAAGGGTTCTCCAGATTCAGCACGTCTGCGAGAGGCCTGTGAATGTCTTCCTCAGGAGGTCCGCGGAACCGGTTCTTTGTTTCCCAGATGGGATAGAGGGAGAAGGACACGAACAGAAGACGCAAACATTTTCAACTCAAACCCAAAAGTCACCAAAAGAAGTTAAACTCACAAGCAATCTCGGCTCTGTTCTCAATATGGGCGTGTTTTTTCTTCCTTTTTTGAAAAAAATGACCAGACTGAATGTCGGGCCGAGATTCTCAGCACTATAAAGTTTGTTCCGTTACTGCGCAACATCTTTGGTCACGGCTGGGAGTGAGTGCTGCCAAAATTAGCGTTTGCTGTCCTTGGCTAAAGATCTTTATTTTCTCTTATTTTTATAATGTTCTGATAAACTGTGCAATCCATCAGTCATTGTCTTGGGAGTCAACCGTGTTTATCGTGTCTGTTGTTGGTTTTTTCTCTTTTTGCTGTCATGTTTCTCAGTCCTTCTCCCACAAGTCCTGGTCTTCCTGACGTTGTGCTCTCCTTTGGACTAAGTGACACCAGACGTGCGGTGTCTGCGCATGGCAGTAGGCGAGTAGTAACAACCCTTTCGATGCTTCATATTCTTCACCTGGAAATTGCATGTAGCCTCAAAGATTCATACTCTCCTCATGAGCTGGTAAAGAAACGTTTGGTATACTAGGTTAGTGTCTTCTTGCTTCACTGTGTGGAACGTGAATACTTATACTATTTTATCATTATGATGAATTTTGTTGTAACTCAAGGTCACTGGCTGCCTCTTCATGTATTTTTCATCCAATGATGTGCATTTCAGTTCGCCTTCAAGTGACTGTGCGGGTGAAACACAGTCAGTCGTTTTCTCCAGTAGCGTCGCCACCAGTCAACGCAGGCAGGCTTGGACAGTTGAATCAGGCTACTAGGCGGTAAGTGTTTCTGATGCTCCCTGCAGTTTACTATACCTACTTTTGTAAACATTTATCCATTTATCTTCGGTGCACAGTGCACACCAGTTCACTCATGTCTGTGTTTTTATCCGAATCTATTTTCCAGTACCACCACAACTCCTTGTGTGACTTCAAGCTCCCATGTATTTTCTACACATGATTCATCAGCATCTCTTCAAGCCGAAAACAGGTTAATATTCAACCAATGCTTATCATACCGGTATTGATTATTTGCATGTCTGTCATTAACAAATCATTCCAGTTCTGCTATTTGCTGGTGTTGCTTACAATGATTTTCCGGTCTGTTGCAGGATGAGTCCGCTATCAGATGTGACTCGGGAAAGTACTGCCACGTCGTGCACACCATCGCATGGAGCGACCAGGTTGGTTTGTGTTTATTATTATTATTACGTTATTTTCATGAAGAGGACTGTACTAAAATGATTCAATTTGAAATTGTGTATGCAATTGGCAAACATATGGGCTACAATAATTAAATGGAACATAAAATCGAACATATGGGTTACAATAAATCAGTAAGAAAGGTTTGCTCCCCACACCGGAGCTCGCGCTATTCCGCCGACTTTACTTGACACTTGACTGACTCACGACTGCCATCTAGAGCACACGAGAAGTCCATCGAACCTTCGACTCGGCAAACCTGCAAGAAAGCACCACTCCCTGCTCAATACACAGTGTTTCGGGGAATTCACCCCTCATCAGTTGAGCTTGAGTAGGCTGAGGAAGATTGTGCCTGAAGAGCACCACTTATATAGTGCTCTCCAGGCACAAACATCACCAGGGATACAAACTTACAGAGACGCTCCGCTTCCAGCGCGATAACCACCTCGTGAACACCAGATAGCAGTGGTTATCGCGCTGGAAGCGGAGCGTCTCTGTAAGTTTGTATCCCTGGTGATGTTTGTGCCTGGAGAGCACTATATAAGTGGTGCTCTTCAGGCACAATCTTCCTCAGCCTACTCAAGCTCAACTGATGAGGGGTGAATTCCCCGAAACACTGTGTATTGAGCAGGGAGTGGTGCTTTCTTGCAGGTTTGCCGAGTCGAAAGTTCGATGGACTTCTCGTGTGCTCTGGATGGCAGTCGTGAGTCAGTCAAGTGTCAAGTAAAGTCGGCGGAATAGCGCGAGCTCCGGTGTGGGGAGCAAACCTTTCTTACAAATCATCGCCGAAGTCGCAACCACTACTTCGTAATAAATCAGTGTTTGTGTTAATTATTCCTGCAGTTTCAGTACAGCCGCCAGGTCTTCGGTTTCAGGACGTGCTGCTGCCAGTTCTTCAGTTTCAAGAACCACAGCATCACACCAATCGACCAGGTTAGTTTCTGCAGGTATTATATTCTGGAAGATTGAACATGTTCCGTGCGAAATCACCTTTAAATGGTGACAAACATACCGGTGACTATACCTCAATCTGCGGACAGAACAGATTCTTCTTTTGTGGACAATAACTCAATAAGATGCAATTAATATAGCTCTGTTTTGTATTGTTACATTTCCTGCAGTTCAAGTACGGCCGCCACTTCAAGTATTGCTGCTAGGTCGCCTGTTTTAAGACCTACAGCCACCAGCTCTTCTGTCTCAAGAACCGCACGTGGCAGAGATTCATCTCGCAAAACCGACTGGTGAGAATTTATTGAAGTTTCAACTTACTCAATCTAGTAACATCATTTCAGCGTGATTTCTACCAACTTATGTGGACAATAACCCGATACAATGCAATTAATGTAACTCTGTTTGTACTGTTAAAGTTTCTGCAGTTCAAGTACGGCCGCCACTCCAAGTATTGCTGCTAGGTCGTCTGTTTCAAGACCTTCAACCACCAGCTCTTCTGTCTCAAGAACCGAACGTGGCCGGGATTCATCTCGCGAAACTGACTGTTGAGAATTTATTGAAGTTTCAACCATGTCAATCTAGTAACATTATTTAGTGTGATTTCTACCTATTGCAGCCATTTCAAAAACCCTTTTAAACCTTGTATTGCCTGGTTTTTACACATTCTTCTGATCTACGAGCATCACATCGGTCAAACAGTGTGGGTTTTCCGTGCACCCAATCTTGGCGGAGCAGCTGGTACAGCAGCACTTCTTGGCAAGTGGCGTGAGGGAACTGTGCTCCGTCACTTTGTGGAGCCTGGCAACTTCATGCTATATGAAGTGGAGACGGAGGACGGCTTATTTAAATCCTCCTTTGCTGCAGCGCATGTAAAGCCCGATCGACATCGCCAGCGAAAGTGTGGTGCAGCCAATGAGAATACCCCATGCCATCTGACTGGGTGAACAAGGCTACCCCACTCACCCCCCGATGGAAGAGAAGGCGATACTAACTCCGTTGCTCATGAGTGTGTCAGTGTGTGCAATTCGAGGAATTGACATGATCTCGTCGCGGAACCCTGTGTCTGTGTTTGTGCTGGTGTCTATGGGGTGCAGTGTAAATGAGTCTTATTACATTTTGGGGCTGAACATGAATGTATGATTCCTACATAGTGCATACAACTGAGTTGGCTGGACTACCTGTGACTGCTCACGGGGAAAAACTCAAAGGGGATAATAGTTAGCACAACAAATCATGCACTTTAATACAGAGATCACAACTGTACGTAGCATTCTGCTTGTGACTGCTTTCAGGGAAATGTAGTGGTCACAAGTGTACACTTTGTCTGTGACTGCTCACAGGGAATTATAATTATAATTCCCACCCCAAATCCTGTACTACAAAGCACTCAGTGAGCAATCAGGGACCTGTCTGCTCTACACAACTCTGTCCTCCAGGTACTTGCGATTCCGCGGCCGCGTTGTTTTCCGCGATTTGAACAAAAGTCCGTGATATCCGCGATATTTGAAAAATCATCCACGTTATTATAGAAAACTGTACTTGATACTTGAAAATCACCACGATATTTCGAAAAGCAACCGCGATATTCGAGTCTTTCTTCCATGTCGTTTAGTTCTTCAAGCTCATCAGTAGTTTACTTGTGAGATCGACACCAGAATGGAGAAGTTTCTGGGAAAATCAGCGGCTGACAAGTCACAAAATAAGGCTCGCGTCGAGTGTTGTCCGAGGATATGAGGAAAGCTGTCTTGCAAGCTCCAATCAGGTAGTTGAACACAGTCAGCGCAGCACACAGTCTGTTTTGTCGTGCATGATTTATGCTGAGCGACTCGTACACCGTACAGCACTACAGTACAAGTACCAAAATCGGCCGCAATTTCCGCAATTTTTCCACAATAATCCAGCAATATTTGACAAAACCCGCAATATTCTCCGCAATTTGTGGCATTTTACCTCGCAACTTTTTCCGCGATATTTCCGAAATGTCCCCGCAAGTTTCTGGAGGGACAGACAACTGTACATTCTGCCTGTGACTACTCACAGTGAATTATAGTTGCCAAAACAAATCCTGCAGTACAAATCACTCAGTGAGCAGTCATGAACTGTGTCTACACATGTACATGTATGGTGATTTGTGACTGGTCATGGGGTTTTGTGACTGGTAAACTAATTTGTGACTGGTCACGGGGGGTTTGTGACTGTTTGACTGGTCACGGGGATCGTGATTGGTCATGGGGCCTTGACTGGTCACTGAGTCCTACATATATTTTTCGACGATTATCTCCACCCCGGAGAGCCAATCCGAACAAGTTTTCAAAAAATCCCGCTACTAAAAAGTGTTTGAAATGAAGAGGCCCCGTCACAGCTTCTTACCTGTTGTTACATTTTGTGTATACGTGGTTATGCAATTACAGATGAAACTTCCTCCTTTAATATCAGTGCATTGTTGGGTTGTATTATCACACGAAGCATGTGAACAATTGAGCCCTGACCAATATCGACGAATTACAGGAGCAAAAAGCAGCACAAAGCATATAATATACAAAAAGGCGACGTGGAGACAATAATCCTAATAATGCAATGAATATAACTAAATGCGCACTCATATCACAACCATGGGGATGAATCATGTGTTCCAGAACGTGTTCTTGTCACAATTATCAATGGAATTCGTGACTAAAGAGAATGATGAAACTATAATAGGATTTATACACTTGGAGTGGTACAGCGAGGATACAAGCATAGTAAGAAAAATAGCACAAATCTAGGAACAATTTGCACAGGTAATAATCTATGGTGAGGTGAGAAATGATAGGAAATTCAGCAAGCGCTATTCCAGTAAATTCGCACTCACACACACTTGCACATGCATGTCCATTGTCACACTGCACTTGCTGAATTTCCTATCATTTCTCACCTCACCATAGTTTATTATCTGTGCAAATTGTTCCTAGGTTTGTGCTATTTTTCTTACTATGCTTGTATCCTCGCTGTTCCACTGCAAGTGTATAAATCCTATTGTAGTTTCATCATTCTCTTTAGTCACGAATTCCATTGATAATTGTGACAAGAAAACGTTCTGGAATGCATGATTCGTCCCCATGGTTGTGATATGAGTGCGCATTTAGTTATATTCATTGCATATAATAATAGCTCAGTGGTTAGAGCATCGCTGGCTACAAGCGAGGGTCCCTGGTTCGAGTCCTGGTGGTGACAGTCAATTTTTTCTTCAGACTTTTCCCGTTTGTCTCTTTCCCTCAAACCAGTTAATATAATAATACCTTCACTATTTTGAGGGAAAGACACAAACGGAAAAAATCTGAAGAACACCAAGGTTCAACTCGAGTTCAACTCGAGTGACAGGACTGCACCCAAAAAAGGTCAAACAGGCTAGTAAGTTGTACCCTGCAGGCACGGTGACCAGGTGACTGGTGTACGCAGGAGCACGTGACCGCTTCTTCAACCATGTTTAATTGGGAATAAAGGAGGAACGCTGCATCGCAGCCTTTTCGGACCAAAACCAGTCGACTCAGCGTCCAAAAGACTACAACATATGGGCCAATCGCGGTCATCCGTGCTTTTATAAGAACGAAATGACGCTTTTAGTGACATTTTGCATACAAATCCCCATCTAGTAGGGCGCAGTCACCCAGTTTCGGTGGAAGTGCACGAGTTCGATTGGGATTCAAGTAGGAAGGGAGCGTCTCAGCTTCCTCGGACCAAGACCATTCGACTCAGCACCCCGAAGACTACAACTGGTGAAATTTTAATTTTTGCCTTAATTTCCCCTTTAAATATATATACAGTATAGTAGGCTGCTCTAGTGCTGCTGCATCACGCAATGCCCGCTACATTTTGTAGTTTGAGCACTCTGGCGCTAGAGCGACGAGCTACCTTAATGTCTGTGGTGCCTCCTCCACCATGGCTGGTAGCTCGGCCTATTTAGCTCGTAGCTGTACTGATGAGGCCTTTATGGCCGAAACAGCTTGCTGTCTACAGCATTGGGTATACAGTATATATATATATATGGGCCTCAACCAGCGAAAACAGCCCTTAGGGTCAACATTTTCAAAATTCATTTTTGGTTAGAAATTTGTTGAACCTCATCTACTGAAGGAGCTCAGCCAAGAAAAAGTTCAATATTCCGATTCTAAATGGGTGGATGTATAGGATAAACCCTGAAGCTGAGTGTTTATTGGGAATATATTTCAGAATAAACACCGAGCCGTAGGCGAGGTGTTTATGAAAGAAATATATTCCCAATAAACACGAAGCTGAAGGGTTTATCCTACTTATACCGACCTATATATACACCACACACTCACCACACTTCCTGGGAGAGATTGTGGAAGGCATAATACAACAATTTCCTTCGCTGATAAAATTCTTCAAAATCCACTGGCATCACCACACGTTCCGTACCTACAGGCTACACGTACCGACACGTACACGTACACGCTGATTTTTTTATGTTTTTACAAGAAAATTTCGAAAAAGCTGCTCTGATGCCGGTGTTCAACTGCGCATGCATGCCGGTGTTCAACTGCGCATGCTCCCCATGACCACGTTCATTCCCACCACCACACTCCATCATTCACCCCAGTGTCTGGAGATATGTGGATTTTGTAGAGAAAACAAATTTCTGAGATGGAGCCACGTGCGAAGAGGTTTGCTTCCTCCACTGAGGAAGAAAGAACTAAATTTGTTGATGATGCCGTACCCGTTTCAACGAAGAAGGCCACCAGCACGTGGATCAGGGCTCTGGAAGATTATGCCGAGGAAAAATCTGTTCCTTTGGACTTTAAATTGACACTTGTACCTGAGCTTGCCAAGCTTCTGGAAGGCTTTTACGCTGATGCGAAGCGGAAGAACGGCGAGCCGTACAAGCGGAACAGTTTGGTGGCAGGCCGAGCTGCGATTAGTCGCCATTTGATTTCTCTGCGGCCCACTGTCAATATATTCAACGATGCGGAATTCAAGCAATCCAACAATGTACTGGACGGTGTACTGAAGGAACGGAAAAGGTCGGGCCAAGAACCAGCCGTGGAGCACAAATCCGCCATTAGTCCTAGAGATTTGGAAAAATTGAAGGAACATTTCGCCGATGTTCAGGACACACAGGACCCAATCAAGTTGTCCATGTATGTGTGGTTCATCAGTACAACCCACTTTTGTCTCCGAGGTGGCGAGGTCCAGGCGACACTTGTGAAAAGTGACCTTGTCTTCAGCACGTCAGGCGAAATAGCACGTCATAGTACATTTGAGATCAGCGGGAAGAAGATGACGACGTCCACTAATTTCGTATCTGTGCACACGAATCTGCTGTGTGTGTGACTCTGTGTGTCAGCTATGATATCATCTTCTGTGGTTCCATGCCTAGCATGTACGTCTGAACCATCCTGCAAAGTTTGAATGACGTAGGTTGAGCGATCGCTCCGCGAAACATACTTTTTGAAAATCTCTTCATAGTATATCTTCCACCATTGAAATTTCGAATTTCTTCCAAAAAAGTGCTGAGAGGGGTGGCTTGCAACCTCGATATGGCTTGTTCCAGGCATGCTTTGGAGCCATCTTCTGTTGAAGTAGTGGCGGGGATCTGCCCTGCAACTGCTACAACAAAAAATGATTCGATCTGAGAAAGGGTGAGACTGTAGCAACCCGCTGCGCGCTTTATGGATTATTTGTGTTTCGTCTGGTTTACCATAGATTTTCAGGTTTTTCCCTTTTGCGTCACACTTGCTTTTGCGGAGGTGTACAGCACAGCGTACACCATGTTTGTAACTCACGTTGTATTCCCGTATACGATTTTCTTGCACATGCCGCGCGTTCGTATGAACCTTGAACTCTGCGGTACAACCCAGTCCCGTACGGCATGCATTTGTACACACTGAGTTATCCGACTTGTTTATTTTTCTCCTCCGCCGTTGCCTTTCGGCTTCTTCCCCACTCGATTGACAACAACAAGTACTCTATTTTCTACTCTCACAGTCTTGGTGTTCGTGGGTGAATTAGTATAGTAATTGGAGCCGCTATCCTCCAAATTGGTGACCCCGTACAACCGGTCAGCATCAGGCTACCGCGTTGTGTAGCCCAAGTGCCGGTATCCCGAACTCTCGCTGCAAGTAATTTTCGTTCGTGTGTGGTTGAAGACCCTGCCTAGTACTAGTAGTAGTAATGGAGCGCGATACCTCAGCCCATGCTAAAGGCACTCCCATGCCCAGCACACCTATCGGTAGCAGCAAATTGCTAGCTCGCACCGAGACCGCGCTGGCCGCCAAGAGCACAGGGACACCGAGCAGGTTGGCCGCTAAGCAGGCGCCTTCGTCCACAGAGACAGAACAAGGCACAGGTACTCTTGTCGCTGCCAACGCCGACCCGCCCGCACACCGTGCTGGCAGTCCCGATGTGTCAGCCATTACTGCGGTGAAGCTACCGCCTTACTACGCGAGCGACCCACAAGTCTGGTTCGGCGTGGTGGAAAGTTTGTTCCGGACTAGGAATATCAGCAGGCAGTCCACGAAATTCCACCATGTCATCAGCAGTTTGAGCGCTGACTTCGCCACCGAGGTACGCGACCTCATCCTCAACCCGCCTGAGGATGCACCGTTTGACCAGCTGAAAGCTCGCTTGATACAGCGTACGCAGCTGAGTGAGCAGCGCCGCATACGCCTGCTCCTCTCCGAAGAAGAATTGGGTGACAGGAAGCCCACACAGCTGTTGCGGCGGATGCAACAACTCCTGGACGACCACACAATGGACGACGGACTGTTCCGCGAGTTGTTCATCCAGCGGCTGCCAGAGAAAGCCCGCCTGATCCTCGCGTCAAGCTCAGAGGCACTGCCCCTGGAGGATCTGGCCACCATGGCCGACCGGATTTTGGCAGTTTCGCCCGAAGCGAACGCAATCATGGCTCTTCGTCCCGCGGCAGCAAGTATGCCGGACAGTACTGTGGCACGCCTGGAGCGGCAAATTGCTGAACTGACTGCAGCAGTGTCAGCCCTTGCTGAGCCTCGTTTCCGTGGTCGTTCTACAAGTCGGAGCAGCACACCTTCGCACTCCCGGTCCAGCACACCAACACGTGACGTGTGCTTTTATCACCACCGATTCGGCGATCGTGCTCGCCATTGCCGGAGCCCCTGCTCTTTCAAGCGGCAGGAAAACGCGCAGGCCAGCAAGTAGTGGCACCCTTGTCTGGCCTAGCTGGAAGTCGCCGCCTGCACGTCCGTGATCGGCTCTCCAAGATGCAGTTCTTGGTGGACACCGGAGCCGCTGTCAGTGTAGTGCCGCCGACCTCCCAGGAGCGTCACCGTTGCCGTGGCACTCCACCACTACGAGCAGCTAATGGCAGCACCATTGTCACCTATGGGATGCGATCCCTGACTATTGACATTGGTCTCCGTCGCCGTTTTCAGTGGGTGTTTGTCGTGGCCGACATTATGCAGCCCATTCTCGGTGCAGATTTCCTCGCTAATTTCCAGCTGCAGGTT